TGGATCCTTTGTCAACAATCAGATGGTTGTAGCTGTGTGGTTTTATTCTTGGATCTTCTATTCTCTTCTGTTGGTCTTCATGTCTGTTTTTGTGCCAGTAACCTGCTGTCTGTGTTACTATGGCTCTGTAGTATAATTTAAAGTCCAGAACTGTGATGCCCCCAGCATTGCTCTTTTTGCTTAGGATCACTTTTGCTATTCAGGTTCTTTTATGCTTTCATATGAAATTTTAGGATTGATTTTTCTATTTCTGCGAAGAATGACATTGGAACTTTGATGGGTATTACTTTGAAACTGTGGATTGCTTTCAGTAATGTAACCATTTTCACGATATTAATTCTACCAATCCATGATTATGGGAGGTCTTTCTATCTTTTGGCCTTCTTCAATTTCTTTCTTCAAGGTTAAATGGATGGAATTGGAGAACATCATTCTGAGTGAGGTTAGCCTGGCCCAAAAGACCAAAACTCGTATGTTCTCCCTCATATGTGGACACTAGATCAAGGGCAAACACAACAATGGGATTGGACTTTGAGCACATGATAAAAGCGAGAGCACACAAGGGAGGGGTGAGGATAAGTAAGACACCCAAAAAATTAGCTAGCATTTGTTGCCCTTAACGCAGAGAAACTAAAGCAGATACCTTAAAAGCAACTGAGGCCAATAGGAGAAGGGGACCAGGAACTAGAGAAAAGGTTAGATCAAAAAGAATTAACCTAGAAGGTAACACACATGCACAGGAAATCAATGTGAGTCAACACCCTGTATAGCTATCCTTATCTCAACTAGCAAAAACCCTTGTTCCTTCCTATTATTGCTTATACTCTCTCTACAACAAAATTAGAGATAAGGGCAAAATAGTTTCTGCCAGGTATCGAGGGAGTGGGAGGGAAAGGGAGGGGGCAGAGTGGGTGGTAAGAAAGGGGGTGGGGGCAGGGGGGAGAAATGACCCAAGCCTTGTATGCACATATGAATAATAAAACAATTTAAAAAATTTTTAAATAAATTTAAAAAAAAAGGTTTTGTAGTTTTCATTGCGGAAGTCTTTGATCTCTGTGGTTAAGTTCATACCTAAGTATTTTATTTTTTGAGGTACTGTAAATGAAATTGTTTTCCTGATTTCTTTCTCAGTTTGTTCATTGGTATATAGAAAATCTATGGATTTCTGTATGTTGATTAAATATCCTGCTAAGTTGCTCAAAGTGTTTATAAGATCTGGAGTTTTTTGGTAGAATCTTTAGGGTCCTTAAGAATAGAATCATATCATCTGCAAGTGGGGATAATTTGACTTCTTCCTTCTCTATTTGAACCTCTTTTATTTTTTTCTCTTGCCTTCGTGCTCAGGATAGAAATTGCACTACTGTATTGAATAAGAGGGGGAGAATGGAACTTTGTCTTGTTCCTAACTTTAGAGGAAATGATTTACGTTTTCTTTCATGTCGTGTGATGTTGGCTGTAGGTTTGTCATATATGGCTTTATTATGATGAGGTACATTCCTTCTGTTCCTAGTTTCTTCAGAGCTTGACTCATAAAGGATGCTGAATTTTATAAAAGGCTTTCGCTCCATCAATTGAGACGATCATGTGATTTTGTCCTTGAGTCTATACATTCCTCAGCATCTTTTCTGAAGTGGGTGCCCCCTGCAACACTTCTATTTCTTTCATAGCCCCCATGAGCAGAAACCCTGTGTCGTTCACTATTGTATCTGGTGCCTAGCAAAATGTCCTGTAAATAATACACTTACTGAATGTTAAATCAACAAATGTCCCAACAACAGCCTCAGATACCTTCCCTCTCCCCCACCACAAGAAAGCCTATGGCAATCCTTATGGACTTTATTTATCAAGCAAATACTTACTGAGTGTCTATGGTGCACCAGGCCCTAGGACAGGCCCTTGGGATAATGACATAGGCAAGTTCTCCACAAAGAAGTTAGATTTGGTAGGGAAAGTGGCAAGCAATTATAAATAGATGAATAAATAATAAAATGTCATGCATAAATGCTAAGAAAGAAATAAAGCAGAGTTATAGGTGGAGTGTAAGTTAGAGGGCATAGGTGGTATCTACAGTGTGCAGCCTGAGGGGGGAGTCCCCTGTGAGCCTTCAGCTATGTGAACCACAGAAACTGGCACCCCAGGCAGAGGCTCCTCCAGTACAGAGGGGCTGGGCTGAGCACAGACAAGTTTACGGTCAGTAGGTAGGACCAAGAGAAGAAAAGACAGTCCAGAGTCAGGCAGGGCCTGCAATGAGTAGGAATCTTAGGCCATAGTGTGGAGTGTAGGTTTCTTCCTAAGGATCATTGGGAGGCCACTGGAGACTTTTAGGCAGTGTATATGATGATGTATTTAACTTTTTAAATCTATCATGACGTCCCTGTCAAAGAAGGCAGTGTAAGACAAGAATGGCAGCCAGGAAGTCAGATAGCGGACTCTGCAGATATGCACAGGAGAGATGCTGGTTTGGACCAGAGTGGGGTCTGTAAGGTGAGAAGAGGATGTAAAGAGTTTGCCCTTTCTCTTTGGCAGATTACAATGGGGACAAATTTGGTTTGAAAATTTTAAAATATACTGACATTTTTCAGGGGCGGAGACCTTTACACACTGTTACACACCTGCCTTGGCTAAGTTTGAACTCAATTAAATTCCCAAGAGATGCCTTTGCCCGCCCTTATGCCTGATCCAACCAGAGAGGAATGCAGCAGCTCAGAAAGCCTTTACAGAAAACAAACAAACAAAAAAAACCTCTCATTTTACTGAAGAAAATGGTAACAATGAGTAGAAAGGGCGGTGGAGGACGCTGTTTTTCTATACTGTCATCATTTAAAACTCTCGGCACCTGCTAAGATTAATCAATGAAATAATCAGACTGTGACCTGAAACGTTTAAAAGCTTGAAGCCAGGACAAAAAATATACACACACCACCCCCACCACCTCGCTCCCGCAATCTCACAGAACTGGTTTCTCCAACCCAGCGGGGATCTCTGGGCCATCTTGGACGATCATTAGATGAATCCACCCCAACAGCAAAAGTGAAGGAGCCTGACTTTACCCCGCAGCCGGGAAAGGCGAAATGCCTGAGTGGTGTGATCCGCAGATCCTCAAGGAGGTGCTAAGACAAACTCTCCAGAGAGGTTGGCATGGAGCATCAGTGTTCCCAGGGCCAAATCAATCAAAGCAGTTTGGGTGGCTCCCAACCCTCGACCCCACCCTACAGGCAGTTTTAGTCCATCCCTCCATGAAGCAGGTTTAGTAAACTGGAGAGGACTGGCTAAACCAGAGGAAGCTGGTCGGGGTAGCTTAGGATGAGTGGCAGGTGGCGCTTCCAATGGGAGAGGAGAGTGTTTTTTCCTGCAGCCGCTAGGCTTGCGCTGGGACTGAGCGTAAGGCTCCAGGCTGCGCAGCAGGCGAGCTCTGCTTCTTAAAAAGGAGAGTTCGAAAGACAAAGGTGGATGAACAGCAGAGGATATATATCTGTCTTTCGTCCTATCGGTGGAAGTCGCCAGCCAAGGAACCTCTCCTGCTGGTAGACCGCTTTGATCATTGGGCGTGCGCACCCGAGGCCGAAACTGATGCAAAACGTTGTCAGTGCGCTACCTTGCTCTGGGGAGGCAGATTTCAAAACTGCTCCCCAAAGCTTAGCTCTGAGACCTGGAGCACCTATGATGATTAAAGGGGTTAATCCGTGACAAGCACACACCTGGCTAGGACAAGAACTCGATAAAGATTAACTATTATTTCTAACATTCGTTCATGCTTTTCCACTAAGAAATTTCTGTATTGTGTGTTTGCATTTACATACATCTCACCTTATGCGTTATAAACTCCTAGTAAGAGTAGGCTGTCTTACCTTGTGCATTTCAGAACATAACTCTGTGCTGGGCTCCCTTAGAGTTTCTTATTTGGATTGAGTTATTTACCTTCTGAAACCAGACATTTCGGTTGTGTCACCTTGCAGAAATGGTAGAAATGAAGAGGTGGGGAGACAAATGAAATACGAGTTTCCTCTACCCCTTCACTTTCTCTTCCCTTGTTTTTTCATAACGCTCCTCCTTTTGTTGCTACCGCACTTTGTTGCAAATTGGTTCCATTTGAGCCTCAGCGACCCTATTTGCCAGGCACAGTTAAAGCTTAACGAATTTTGATATCTCCTGGACTCCCATAGGGATTGGATGTCATAGAGGATACCTAGAAAGGCACAAACCGAAGACATGAGCAGATTTATTTGAGAACACTATCACCTCCAGCAAGTGCATCTTGACATACACCAAATCAATAATAATAGTAGTAGTAACAATGACCACCATTGTTTGCTGAGCACTGATGCTTTGCTAAACACTCTTCATATATTACCTTATTTAATCCCTCCCAACAATACAAAGTGTATGTTCTGTTATTTCCATTTTATCAGGTTAAAAAAAATTAAAGCAGAGAAAAGTCACAGCCACTTGTTTAAGGTCACCCTCAGTAAAATGTTGAGACTCAAACCCCAGTTTTTAACCCTCCAAAGCTCACTCAGGTAACCAGTCAAGTCTCCAGCAGTTCCTGGCGACAGAGCCCAGCTCTAAAGCACAAACACCACTGTACCGGTTCTCTGTAGAGTACAGTGCATCGTGCCTCCCATGCTCATCTTTGTTGTCCCCACAACACATCATGGCAGCCTGGCACATCTCATCTACTGCAATTGACACCATAGATTTTTCTTTTCACTTGTCCCCAGTTCCTGCCATACTTACATGCCTTAAAATATCACCACCACTGGTTTGTAACTTACGCCAACAGGACCTGCTCCCATTTTCTTTTCTGATGGAACAAAGGCACTGAAGCCACAGGTTGCTGAGGCAAAGGACTTATTAATTCCCAACAATATTCAGCCTCTGTTAAGATTAGACTTGGACTCTTAGCTCAGGAGACCCGCTCCTCCCACACCTTGCTCCTCCTCTTGCAATGTATAACTAGAAGAGCTGGGGACAGAGAGACTGGTCAGCTAGTCATTCCACACTCAATACAGGACCTGGAATTAAGAGGACAACTCCCAATCCACACAATGACAGAAGATAAGGTAAAGCAGCAGTTAGTTCCTTTTGAATCTGGCTTTGAGGAAATGAACAGGGGAATCTGCTCAAGTCAGTGAGTACATAAAGCTTTTTGGAGATGTTGGATGTAGCTGCCACAAATCAAAGCTACTTCTCTTTATCTGGCCAGTTGGTAGTTCATTTGACTGCTATGAAAAACCTATTTCTTATTCAGCAGTTGGGATTTTAAGAATATTTGCTATTTTCTGATCAGTCTGCATAACTGTTTTTCAAGTAATTCTACATAGCCATATTACTGAAGGAATGTGCCCTTCCCAGAATGAAGGGAAGATTAACCTGAATCTAATCATGAAAACTGATCTGGAATCTTCAAAAGTGTCAAGTATGAAAGACAAAAGAGATGGAAGGACTGGGGTAGATTAGAAGAGACAGAAGAACCGACAACAAAATGCAACAAGTGACCTTAGATTGTGGAAGGAAGAAGAAAACAGCTGTAAGGGACAATATGGGGACAGTTGGGAAACTGTGAATATGAGCTATATCTTAACTAATACTAATTAATATTACATTCCTAGATGTGATGATAGTATTGTAATCATATAGGAAGATGACTTTGTCTTAGTATATGTAGAAGTAGTCAGAGTGAGGTGACACAAGTATCTGTAGCTTATTTTTAAATGGTTCTGCCAAAACACACAAAGAGTGAAACAAATGTGGTAAATGTTAACCATGGGTGAATGGAAGTGAAGGTTATAGTGTTAATTGCACCACCATTTCAACTTCTCTGCAGATATGATACTTTTTAAAATAAAAACTTAAAAAGGATGCCACACTTACTCTTCTTGCCTTATAAGTTTCCCCCAACCAAACTCACCCACCCCTCCCTGTACACAATAGTAAGAGTTGATAAATCCATGACTCTATTAGAATAGGACCTTTAAGTCTGACCTGGTAAGACTCACTTGGCTGAGCATCCCTGCATTTTACTATGTGGCATGGTCTGGAGTGTGAGCTTTGGAATCAGCCAGGCTTGGGTGTGGATTCTAGTGATGCTACTTATCTGCTGTGAGACCTGGGCAAAGCTACTCAACTAAGCTTTGGATTTTCTGTGCTATGATAAAATAAGAACATATCAGGATACAATATGATCTTTTCAGATTTATCCTTGTAATCCCTAAATGAAGATTCAGGTTATACTCAACCTCTCTTTAGAGTATAATTAGATGACAAACATTTTAATGTTAATAGTTATGTATTTATATGTTTATTTAAAATATAGCTAGCATGTCATGATTTTATTATATCCCAAGATAAAAGTAAAGCAGTTAGAACTTTATTGATAATATATAGATGAATATTAACTTAATAATTATATAGATGGCATATAGATTTGGCAAAATCATGAAAGTATTATAACTTCCAAATAACTAAAAGTTAGAAGATATTGAAAAAGGGAAGGTATATGCTTAACAGAATGCTAGCATAGAGCAGATGCTCCAGCTTCATTTGGAACTATAATTAAATTCCCTTAGAGGCTGTAGAAATTAGCCTACAGAACTTTCCTTGAGAACCAAGGAATTGCCCAATAATGGAACCCAGAAAGTATGAGAACCTACACAAAGTGCAATGTTTTTCAGCTTTGCAAATCCATCCACAACTTAAAGGGGGTAGGAGACTCATGAGACTGTAGGTCAGAAGAGCTAGGATCACAAATGCACACGGAACTCAGACAAGGACTTAGCCTGTGGAAACTCAGTTTCTTCAACTGAAAAATGTAGGAGTTAGACAAGCGTCCATTACTCTCTAGACTTCTTCAGCCTGAAAATTCTGTCTTGAGAAGCCCCTGGCCTTTTCTAAAGTTGGGTGCAAAATCACCTTCGGCATGTTTTTTGGAATACTGTGTATTAAAGGAAAGTGGATAGGATTTTTTCCTACCTGGTCAATCAATAGTTGCTGAAAAATCTATTCTTTTATTAAGCAATGAGGTTTTAAGAACATCAGCTGAGATCCCACACTAAGGTATCTGTCATGGACTAGCTGTGTTGTGTCAGGCATGCCGCTTAATACTTTGAGCCTGCTTTCCCCAGCTGTAAAATGGGAATAATTCCATGTACCTTATAGTATTGTTGCAAAGATTACTGGTGATATATGAAAAGTTGACAAATGGTTGTTTGATAGGAGCAATTAATAAGATGATAACAATGTGAGGAGAGATGCGTCTCACATGCCTTTTATGTTTAAAGGAAGACAACATTACCTTACTTACTTTTTAAATAATCCTGTGCATAACCGTTTTATAGGCAAAGAAACTGAAGCTAAGGGATAGTGGTTGCCTATCTAGGGCCCTTTTTTAAACTCTCTGATTTCCACACCTACATTTTCCCTATTCACATCTGACCTCCAAGCCACAAAATGAGCACCATATTTTGTTTTATGTTAATGTTCAGCTATTTGCCCATTCTACCTTTTCACATTTATCCAGAACATATTTTAAAGCACTAAGTGATGGTAGATGTTTTAAAAGTGCCAGGTTATACCTTGTAGCATATGAAGAAGTTTAGAGAAAAGGCTTGAAGATCTGCCATTTCCTTGGTATATGGCCTTTCTACAACCAACTTACCATTTCCATATATGTGTGAAATGATAATGAGAATTCCTACCGACAGTGTTGTTGAGAGAACATGCAAACCTGGACTGAGCAAGGCCCTAAGTTCTCCCTACTTTCATTAACTCTTTCTTATATACCCATCCTATGCTAACCTCTTAGACATTACAGTGAATAGATAAAGGACAATGGGATTTTTTTTTTCAGAATTAGTAGTTTTTAGAAATTTTCCCTCTCATAACAAAACTTCCCTGGACCAAGTCTAGTGCCAAGTCACATAGATGGCACATAGAAAACATTACAGATATGATTAAGGTTATGAAACTTGAGATGGGGAGATTTTCCTGGATTATCCAGAGGGGTCAAATCTAATGTCATGCATTCTTAAAAAGGAAGAATTTCCGGGCTGTTGTCAGCATCAGAGAGATACAGCGTGAGAAGGACTTGACCTGCCATTGCTGGCTGTGAAGATGGAGGACACCATTAGCCAAGGAATGTGGTGGCCTCTGGAGCTAAGAATGATGGCCCTCAGTTTACAGCCAGTATGAAAACACAGAGCTCAATCCTACAACCAGGAGGAATTGAATTCTGCCATCAACCCAAATTTTCTTCTACAGTATCCAGAAAGGAACATAGCCTCCTAACACTTTGATTTCAGTCTGCTGAGACTCATACTGGACTTCTTACCTACAGAACTGTAAGATAAATAAGTTTATATTCTTTAAGCCACTGAATTGGTGGCAATTTGTTACAGTAGCAACAAAAAAGTAACACCAGGAGTAAATAACATAATCTGTTTACAGCAGTGGGCAGGTGTGCAGTAACATAAATACTGCGTACTGGGCTTTGCTGCTATGTTTGCACTGCACCTCACATCAAATTGTAGTGATGGAGAGTATGAGGCAAGTAGCTTAAAGCCCTCCCAAGGTACCTGGACCCATTACTGCTGCTGCGGCTTACTACCTGAAAATTGCTGAAATTCCTATCCTAGGACACAACTTGAGGTGGGTGAAGGATCTGAGGAGAAACCACTCATCAAGTAAATGGAACCCCATCTTAACTTTGGCTGTCTGAGCAAAGGAGTTTTCAATGTCTAGTTACATTTTAAAGGATAATTCAAAATATCTCATGATCTTATACATCATATACCCTATAGTGTGTACGTATGTGTGCATGGGCCCATTTTGTACAGAATATGCTTATATATTATTTATTTCTAATAAGCATATAGTAAATGTTATATGACATATGTATATGTGTATGCATACTTCTTTGGGAGTATATACACATATAATCTTTTTTCCTTGTTTATTATTTAACTTAGTATTTACTAATTGTACAAAATAATAGATTATGGCATTTTCATACATACATACATACTATGTACTTTAAAGATTTTTACCCTGTCTTCTCCCGCTTTGTCCTACCACTGGCCCATACTTCCTCCTCAACTTGTTCTTCTTCTACTTTCAAGTCTTTTTTTAAATCTAGGTTCTGCATATGAGGGAAAACATGCCATATATGTCCGTCTGGTTCTGGTTTATTTTGCTTAACATAAAGATCTCCAATTCCAACCATTTTCCTGCAAATGACATAATTTTGATGTGCTTCATGACTAAATAATACTCCACTGTGTGTATCACATTTTCATTATCTATCTATAAATACATATATTTAGATAGATAGATCACATTTTCAATATTCACTCTTCTGCTGATGGGCACCTAGACTGATTCCATGACTTGGCTGTTGAAGACAATACTGCAACAAACACAGGTATGCATACATTTTTACTGAATGCTGATACTGGCTCTTTCAGGTATATACAGAGGAGTGAGAGATATAGCAGGATCATATGGTAGTTCTAGTTTTAGTTTTTTGAAGAGCCTCCATACTGATTTCTATAGAGGCTGAACTAATTTACATTCCTATTAACAGTGTATAAGGGCTCATTTTACCCACATCCCAGCTAGCATAGTTGTTGTTTTCTTGATTATAGACGTTCTGACTGAGATGAGATGGAATCTCAGTGTAGTTTTGATTTGCATTTCCTTTATGGCTAAGGATGGTGAACATTTTTTTCATATATTCATTGGCCATTTTTTATTGTCTTTCTTTTGAGAATTGTTTCTTCATTTGTCCATTTATTGATTGGAGTATTTCTTCTTTTGGTTTTTAATTTTTTGAAGTCTTTCTACATTGTAGATAATATTCCCTTGTTGACGAACAGCTTTCAAAGACTTTTCTCCCATTCTGACATTAGTCTCTTCACTCTTATAATTATTTCCTTTGTTGTTCAGAAGCTATTTGATACAATCCCATTTGTCAGTTTTTTTGCTGTTTTCCTGAGCCATTGGAGTACTATTCAGGAAGTTATTGCTTATGCTTATATCTTGAAGTGTTTTCCCCTAGTAGTTTCAA